TTGGGGAAAAAGCCAGTAAAAAAAAAACTATCCCTCATGCTCTGTGCTTCGGGTTCCTGCCCTGAGTCCCTGCCTTGGCTCCCCTTGATGCCATATGGACTTTACTTATAAGCTAAATAAACCCTTTCCTCCCCAAATTAGTTTTGGTCAGTTTTTTTGTTTGTTTGTTTGTTTTTTTGGTCTTTTTGAGACAGGGTCTCCCTGTAGCCCCAGCTGTCCTGGAACTCACTATGTAGACCAGGCTGGCCCTGAACTCACGAAGATCTGCCTGCTTCTGCCTCCTGAGTGCTGGGATTAAAGGTGTGTGCCACCAAGTCCGGCTTGGTCAGTATTTTTATCACAGCAATAGAGAAGCTAACTAGAATATGTGCATATCTAAGATTTCACAACTAACATCCAGTTACAAGAAAGATCATGTGACATTTGTCACTGAGTTTGAACTATCTTACTCAGGATGACTGTTTCTAGTTCATTTGCCTGTGGATTTCATCTTTTTAAGAGCTGAATAATAGTCCATTGTGTATATGTATCACACGTTTATTATTTATTCATCAGTTGGTGGACATATAGGTTCTTTCCCATTTCTGGCTATGATGAAAAGGGCAGCAATGAACATGGACGACCAGGTATTTCTGTGGTAGAGTATAGAGGCTTTTGGGTTTATGCCCAAGAGTGATATGCCTGGGCCATATGGTAGGTCAATTTTGAGCTCTTTGAGGAAATGCGGCACTGATTCCCATTGTGGCTGTACCAGTTTGCACTCCCACCAACAGTGGACGAGAGTTCCCCTTTATCCACATCCATGCCAGCATTTGCAGTTGTTTGTTTTTTTGATTCTGAGTGGGGAAAGACGAAATCTCAAAGTGGTTTTAATCTGCATTTCCCCAATGGCTAAAGATGTTGAACATTAAAAAAAAAAAACAAAAAAAAACCATTTCTCAGCCATTTGTGTTTTATCTTTAGAGAACTTCTTGTTCAGCTCCTTGTCCCGTTTTTAAACTTTTTGATGTATAGCTTTGTGAGTTCTTTGTGTATTCTAGATACTAACCCTCTGTCAGAGGTACAGCTGGTAAAGATTTTTTCCCATTCTGTAGGTTGTCTCTTCACTTGAATGATCATAACCTCTGATGTACCACTTTTGTTCTTGAACTGACATAGTTTGTTGCAGCTTCCAAGTAGGCCGTGGCCAAGGGAAAAACAGAGACTTGTAAAACTTCTTACAAATAAAATAGACAAAAAAAGGAGAAAGCCTAAGCAAGTGATGAACGTTTGTGTAGGTTAGTTATGATATAAAGGATGAGACAAAAATAACATACGCATAATCTTAAAGTTTTTAAGGTCATAGTTTAGTCAGCTAGTTTAAGGAACAAAATATATATCTAGTCAAGGTTTATATGAGAATGTTCAGTTTTTTACCCAAGTTTATCTACATAGCACATGGTAATTAAAAGTACCTGACTGGTGGAACTAACCTTATTGGATGTTTAACAGCCATACTTTGAGGCCTATACTAATCTGGTCAGAGGGACTTAAAGGACAGTTTTTGCCCCTTGCCCTCTAAGGTCGACTAAGTTCCAGGGGTCTATGGAGCATCTCTCAAAATTTCCTGTTAACTGTGGTGAGTCACCTGTCCTCTTGTTCCAGGGATGCCATGGAGACCCCACGAGATGGACTTGAACCAGTGTCCAGTCTACAAAGAGGAGGGTCAACTCAGAGGAAACATCTCATCCATGCTTCCAAGTGAACCTAGACATGGTCAAGCAGAACCTTTGATTTATCTTCACACAGATGGAACTGGTAAAAGAAAGGAGACAGAAGCTCCTCCCAAGCCCATGTAACCCCTGAGGAACAGTTCCTCAAACAACCTTAAGTATAA